TTTTACGGTGCGATGGGGAAAATGTCACAGCCTGCGCCTCTTCGCGGCCCCCATCTTTACGGCGCTGGCGACACGGCTGAGTGGATCCCGTGACTTTGTCCTCGCCTGTTGAGAAAAGGAGGGCGACCTCGAGGAGGCACGGGCACGGACACGCTTGCGGTAATTTTCCGCGGAGTCCGCCCCCTCAATGTGCATGTAATGTGGGACGTCCAGCAACGTTGGGTCGCACCTCGTCGTCTTCTTGGAGCGGGACAAGATGCGCCGAAGTGCGGTGTCATCCTTCTCACTCATGTGGCTTTTCAGGTAGGCGCTGCGCGTGAGTTCGGCGGCCACGGCAGAAATGCGCTGCCGTCGGGTGGACGACCTCGTAATCGTGAAGAGCACATTGTCTACGCGGTACTGAAGCTTCGCCGCCTCCTGCCGGTGCAGCTGCTTAAACGGCTCAAAAGCGTCATGCGTGGCCCGCAAATATTCGCGCAGCCGTCGGGTCACTTTCTGCGCCTGCTGTCGCGAAAGCAGCGTGATTGCCATCCCGCCCTTGCCGGCCCTACCGGCACGCCCAACGCGGTGGGTGTACCGCGAGAAGGCCGAGGTCGTCGGATGCGATATGCCGTCGAAGAGAATGACGTTGCGCACGTCTGCGAAGTCGATTCCCCGCTGCAGCGCCCCAGCGTTCTTGTCGTCCGTCCTCTTCCCGCCTTTACTGGGCGTCAGCGCGGCCTCCTCCGACACCCCTGGCACGGGGTCCCGCAGACCGTCGACGCTCTCCAGCGTCCCGTCGGTGCAGACCAGTGTGGCGACGGAGCCAACCTGAAAGCGGTGGAGCGTGTCCACGCGGACGTTGAGCGGCAGGTTGGAATCGTAGACGAGCGCCTCAACCCCCAACTGGGCCAAAAAGCTTTGAACCTTGTACGTCGTCTCCTCCTCGTTGACAAAGATGAGGGTCTTGCCTTTGATGTGGCCAAGGCGGTAGAGCGCGTACAACAGCGTGTGCTGGTGGCACTCATCGGTGGCCACGAGGTAGTAGTGCTGCAGCCTTTCCTCGTCGGTCGCCCCTCGTGTTGTGGTGCGAGACTCTACAACAATGTTTTCGCCGTCGGTCGGCGGCGCCTCGTCGTCCTCGTCTCCCGTGCTTAGCGTGATGGTGACGGGGCGGTGAAGCAGCTGGCTCTTGATGTTCACCACGCCGTCCGTCAAGGTCGCGGAGGCAAGAATGGTCTGCACCGAGGGCGGTAAAACGGACTGCACCGCGCGCAGTGAACCCTCGGCGATCGACATGACCAAATCCACCTCGTCAATGACAACGCACCGAAGCGAGGCCAAGTCCTCCGCCGTCACCGCGCCACTGCGGCAGTGCTTGCCTAACAGCGCGGCGGTGGTAACAAGAATGGGGGCAGAGGCCATGCGCGCCTTTGTGACGGCTCCGCGGGAGGTCAAGTTGTCCACCACAATTCTCGGCCTCACATACTTTGCCAGGAAGTTCACCACCTCAACGGTTTGCTCGCACAGCTCGACGGAGGGCAGCAGGATGAGGGCCAGGGGGTTTTTTGCGCTGCGTCGGTGGCGCATCTGCTCCGCCTCAGTGATGATGCGTTGCAGGATGGGGATAACAAAGGCGCCCGTCTTTCCGCTGCCCGTGCGGGACTGAACGGCCAAGTCGCGCCCCTTTAACGCCAACGGGATGCATGCGCTCTGCACAGGGGTGGGCGACTTCCACTTGACGCGTCTGATCGCCTCCAAAATGCGGCTGTCCAGCGCCAACTCCGACCACGCCGCAGAAACGACGTTCGACGGGGTGCCGCTCATTGAACCTCCCGCCCGCCTCTCCCCTTTTCTTCCTTCCTGCCTTGCTGCTGTCCGTGGGTCCTCTCCCCCGGCTTCGTTCCCTCGCAGTTGCTCGGCTTTAATAAAGCTCCCGCAGCCTTTCTGCGCGGAGTCCAGGCGACACTTCCGCGAGAGGGGGGCAGCAAGAAAAAGACAAGAGACGCAAGGGGCAAGTTTTCGTTTTCGTCGTTGCGTTGTGCGGAGAGGGCCGCTGTTGACGCCCCGCACAAACCCCCCCCCCTTCACGCGCAGACACGCACAGGCAGGAAGAATAAACAAAACAACAACGACAAGAAAGAAGGGTGGGGCGGGGTGCGCACCCCGCCGTCTATGCGCGCAGATGCAACGAAGCCTACTTCTTCACGCGAAAAAAAACATGTCCCGCGGCCTCCAAAGCATTAAGCTGTTGCTATCCACCGAAAGCAATTGACCCTCACACCCTTCCTGCCAATTCCACGAGAGGTCCACCACTTTTTCGGTGTGGCCCGCGTGCTTAAACAGCAACCGATTCGACGTCGTGTTATAAATGCAACACTTCCCATCACCGCCGCCGCTGCAGAAAAGATGGCGCGAGTGAGGACACCACTGAACCGCAGACACCGGCCCATCATGCATACGACCAATGGCCACCGCATCCGCGCTTTTGCGAAGATCGTAGTAAAGTACCTCGCCATTCCCTGAGCCAAGCAACAGGGAGGTACCGTCGAGTGGAGACAGGGAAAGCGCCGTGACCCCACATGGCAGTGAAAACAGCTCCAGCAAGTCCGGTGTCCTTACATCGCCGTAGAAGACGGGACCTGAGTCACACGAAACCGCAAATACGTGGGGCTCCGTCCAAGAAAAGACAACTTCACTAACCCGAGCCTCAGTGTCCTCTAGCTTATACGTGTGCGACGGCGCGAGCGTGCGGGCGTCATCCTTTGATGTGTTTCCCACGTGCCAGCAGCACACGTGTCCAGTTGAACCAGACAGCAGTGTCCCATCGGTGGTGACGCCCCAGTCAAGCGCCTCACACGGACCATTTCCACCAGAAAGTTTAAGTACATGTTGCCCTTCCCCTCTGCGCTTGTCCCATCGATCTTGTTCTGCCACCACCGCATTCAAGGCCCGCATGCGCTTGTGGTACGCCATGCGTTCCTCATCTGTGGGATTGGCACTGAGTTCATTGGGCGGCAGTGGAGCGCGGGGGCGGGGCGGGTCATTGGGAAACTTGTTCAGCGATATGCGGGACCAGTCAAAGATGTACGCGTTGCCGTCACTAGAACCGGACGCGATGATGAGGGGGTTAGCGTGCATGTAACGCGCCACCAAGGGATCCCCGTCATGTAGCATGCGCCGCTCCACCTGCACGCCCACTTGACTCGGCGCCATCCCGTAGCCGCCAACCTCGCCCGTCGCGTCGTTGTAAGTCTCATACGTACGATCCAGCGACACCGCTGTGTTCGGGGTGGTTACGGAGAGGAACTGAATGTATGCCTGCTCCGCGCCACCCGTTCGGGTGCAGCACAAAACAGTCTGAGTAGCCAAGTCCATTTTCGCGGTCATGTACGGCATCAGCCGCGCGGAGGGGCTTTCCCAGACAAGATCAACGTGGACGAGGTGCTGGTACAAGTCGCGCACATGCTTGCGCCACGTGCAGAACGCCCGCCTTTCCTGATACGGAACGTCAGTTGACTGCAGGGAGGTTGCTGAGGAGGCCTCCCTCTCGGAAGTCACCACGCTCACCTGCGGCGTCGCTCCGTTGTCCATCGACAACGTGGCCTCTTCCAGGCATTCAATGAGGGCCGATCAATTGGTCGAAGCAACAACAACAAAGAGAGAGAAGGTGAGAGGGAGAAAGAATAGAAAGCAAAATCCATACAAGGAAGCGGGCAGGAAACCGAAGAAAAAAAACACACATTGAACAACCGAAAAGCATAGGCCAACCGCATGCGTACGGAGAGTGAAAACCGCAGAGAGAAGGTAACTGTAGGATGGCATCTTTCCGCAGTACACGTTTCGATAGTAGAATTGTACACACACACACACACATATATATATGTACTCACTCAGCGCTCAACCTCACAGTCCTCAGCTTTGACCTGTTGGCGTAGGGGCAAAAGCGGCATCGTCTTTGCGCTGGCGAAGCTGCTCTCGACAGTGGCGCAGTTCCTTCTCCAGGCGGTCGATGTAGCCCTCGTAGCTCTGGATCAGCGCGTTGTGCCCGGCATGCGACTCCTGCTCAAGGAATGAGTTGCGCTGAAGAACGTCCCAGAGTCGTCGCTGCAGCTCACCAATGAGACGCTCCGTCGCACCTGCGACCTCAAAATGTGGCGCCGAAATACCTTCCGGCAAACCAGCAGCGGCAACGTGTGGGACGACGTCAAGTTTTCGTCGCAGGTCCTCATTTTCCGCCTGCACTCGCCGAAGCTCTTCCTGCGCTTGGGCCAACTTCAGCTTTATTTCCTCAAGCGTCACGGCAGTCTCCATTCCCCAGACGAACTCTACGGAAATAAAACAAAAACGGGCACGGACAGAGAGGAAGAGAAACAAACCAAAAAAAAATGATAATAATAATAATAACGCACCTATACATGTGTATGCGCAAGGGGCGAACCAAGACCAATAGGGGCGGCAGCTGCAGAAACAACACACGCACCCCCGCACACACACACAGACACATATGTATGTATATGTGTACATCAGATAGACACACACCAAACAGCAATACTAAGAAGCAGAAGTAAAGGCAAACAATGGCTCGGTATGCGCCTGAAGCAGCTCCTCCTCAGTAGCGTCTCCACTTGTGCTCACAAACATTACAGACACAGAAGACAGTCATGGGTTCATCCGCGGAGCGTGTCTGCTTCTGTGTCCACGAGCAATCCCTCGCCTTGCAGGAGGGACAGGGAAACAGCGTCGACTTGGTGGCCGTGGCCCTCCGTATTTCAGTTAGGTCGGTGTCCTTGCTCCGCTCCAAAAACGCCGCCTCTTGGTTTTTCTTCGCCTCAGGGTTTAGTAAGTCTCTCTCTGACATGTGCACCAGCACCTCCACCGGCAGTCGCCCCTCAACAATGTCCTCGCGAAGTTTGGTGTTCTTCTCGTCCCTTAAATTCACCAACAGCACGCGGAAGCCGTCCGCCGCCGCGGAACGATCCCCGGGGATCGCCGTTGCAATGCGCGACGCCACGGCACGGACCACGGGCTCCTCACCCTTTGCTCTTCCCTGCATGAGGGCGTCGCCAATCAGGGAGCTCCACTTGGCGATGCGGCTGCAGCCCTGAACTCCCCCAATGAGCGGCGGCCCGGTTGGGGTGCCGGGGGTGGTGCCCTGTGCGCCGTGGCCGACGGAGCCGACGGGCGAACACATCGCCGACTTCCGCGCCACCGGCAGCGGTGTTTTGGGGCTACCACGCGCGTTGTCCTCCACGGAGTCCTCCTTCGGGGCAATGCCGGAGGTGACTGGCGGAGGACGCGGCCGCTTGACGCCAACCATTTCAACCCTGTGCTCCTCGGACATGGCCGCCGCAGTCCTCAGCCCGCCCCGCCGTGGAACTCCAACACCGCGGCAGGGCGAAAACCAAAGATGCACAATCGCGCAAACAATTAAAGACATAAAAGGAGAAAACCAAACAAAAAAAAAAGAAAAATTCAAACCGCACATAAAAAGGCAATAACGACGACTTGGTGAAGAGCTCAAGCAGGATAGCAGCAGCACACAATTTTGGCACACTAACATGCCAGCAAGCGGAGACACAATCGTAGACGCATCAGCGCCCGCAGATATACAGAAAACGATGCTCACAGAATAAACAAGCAAGGAGGCTACGCTACATTCACTAAAGTCATTCCAAGCAGATGGCGGACTCACCGGCGCTCTGGCTTCTGGCGCGCGTATAGAAAAAACAAAACAAAAAACACACTACAAGCTATTGCCTTAACAGGGCAACTTTTTCGTCGCTGTCAACGAAATGGATCAAAACGAGCATTCCCTGCGGCCTCTCGCTCCCCTCTCACTCACACTACGCACGCATGCACAAAGGCTATAAAATTCCGGCCGCAACCTCGGAAGGAAAAAAAAAGCAGAACAAAAAAAAGAGGGAGATTGGGTGGAAGGGAATGAGGAAGGACACCACCGCCATTTTCTCCGAATTACCGCGTCCTCAGAGAGGCAGTTCCCCCCTTTTCCCACCACCACTCCTCCCTGGACATCCTCACCGTGTACACAACTATATATTTGCGCCTGACTCCTTGAGAAGACCTATTAATTCCTGCTTCCGTTATGCGAATTAATTTTTATTTTTGTTTTCTTCATTGTTTTTTTTTTGCAGTTGCCCCTGTGTGTATGTGCATGCGAGTGAGTGAGTGAGTGAGTGAGTGAGTGAGTGAGTGTGTGTGTGCTTGCTCTTCATACGCGCTGCTAGCGCTGCGTTCTCTTATGGGGTACGGCGCCTCCGAGGCTTGTCAGCTGCGGCTTGGGCTGTGAGCGCCCGGCGTGGGTGGGCGTTGGATAGATCGTTGAGCTCTTCATCGTGCGCCTGCCCAGGCCACTCTTGCGCGACGCCTCCGCCTGCTCCCTCTCGCGCTCCGACTTCAGCAGGTCACGCAGCTTGGAGCGGCGTTCTGCCTTGTCGTACTCCTTCGCCACATCCAGCAGCTGTCCCTCCACCTGCTCGCGTCGCCTATCCTCCTTACTTTCCTCCTCGAACTTGATTTTGCCAGCGTCACGCTTTAGCTCTCGGTCACGAACCTCAATCACTTCCAACCCCGTCTGTGCCACCGCGCGCACTTCGGCACTCTCATCCATCTGCAGACGACGCACCATGTCCTGGTACTCCTCCAGCGCACTTTCGGTGGGTAAGGCCTCCAGCACCCTACGCAACGACGGCAGTAGCCGCGCAAGCTCTAGGCGCACCATGTCCATTTGATCATGCTGAAGCTCAAAGCAGCATTCAAGCATCCTCTCACGAATGAAGCGGCGCGAGAACAAAGAACAAGCGGCACGGACAAATCTCAAATAGTCTTTGCGTAGAATACATGAAGAGCTATGGGCGTATTCGTTGTTCAGCTTACTAAAAAACTGAACCTTGTTGTTGACGTTCGACAGGCTCGCCGCAATCTTAATACATACCTCAGCACTCCGATCCTTGAGGCAATAGGCCCCATTTCGCCCATATTTTAGGAGGAGGGGTAAAAATTTTTCGTACAACGCCGTCTCCTGAAACTCCCCGTAGTACAAGGAGAGCATTTGAAGCACGTGGTCCATAATGCGCCAGTCCCGCTCAGCGCGTGCAATAAGTTGTAGCAGTATACCTTCCATACTGAAAAAAAACGCCTTGCGCTCCGTCGGTTTAAGCTGCTGCACAAAGCACTCCAGCAAAATCCCAGAGTGAACTGAGAGGGCAGTCAGAACACTCTTTTGCGGATCATTCAAGAGATCCAAAAACGGCTTTCGAAGATGCACGGCTGCCTTGTCGCCAAGGAGTGGAACTAATTCATGCAAACCGGCGGCGATGCTGCGTCGCACAGGTTCAGTCGAGTCGGTGGCGAGGGCCTCAGAGCATGGGGCCAGGTAAACAGGAAAGACAGAAATGGGCAGCGACGCCGTGACAGAGGGCAGGTTGTAGGCGCAGCGATACCGAGTCGCATCATCGCCCTTCAAGGCGGCGTTCTGGTAAAACCCGGCAAACAGAGTGACGTCCTCGCTGGTTTGAATGTCAGCCTTTATCTCCCACAGAAAGCGGCCAAACTCCCCGACGATGAGGCTCACCACCTCCTCCGGCGGATGCGAGATAAAGCCCTTGATGATGGGGTAGAGGTGCTCGCGGCGGTAGGCGGGACCGAAAAACTCCACCAAGTCAACTAAACACGAGAATGCTGCCCGAGAGACGGTCTGATCCTCGTCGTTGAGGAGCTCAAAGAGCTCCTGCGCTACCTTCTCCTTGGCCACCTCCACGCCCAGGGCGCGTGCCACGATGCCTAGTTGTTGGCACATGCTTCGCCGCACGCCCACGTTAGTGTCCTGACACAGGGCCAGGACCTTGTTCATCAGTTTGCGTTCGACAACGTCGCGAGGCAGGTGGCGGCAGACGCCACCGATTAGTAGACAGCTAAGCTCCCGCTGGTCCTGCGGCTGCGCATACTCCGTCTTTTTCAGCGCGAGCGGTACCACGTCGTTGTCCAGCTGTTTAATGTTCAGGTAATCGATGAAGGCAGGAAACAGCTTATTCCACGCTATCCGAACCTCAGCCGTTTTGACGCTTAGCATTGTACTTGTCACAATAAACAGCTCCCGTGCCACACTATTGTTCAGCAGGGGCAGCACTTCCAGCAAGGCGCCTGGTGCAAAACACTGCAATTCTGGCTCCTGTACCCACATACAGTCCACCACAATCATTAATACCTGTGAGATGCTGGACATGTCTACACCAACGAGTGTTTCCTTCAGACGCTGGAACAGCGACATCTTCTGACCGGTACTTCCGTGTGCCATGATGTACTTTGCGGTATCCTCCAGAGAAAGATTCTTCGCCTCCACGTAGTTCTGCACCTCCTCCTCATTTTTCATGGACGCACTGAGAGCGTTGAGCTTGTCCAGCGCCGGCAGCTCACGGACAAGTGCCGTGGGGTCCTCGGGGTCGGCGTCCATCGCCGCCGCATTGTTGCCCGCGTCAGTGGGCAGCGTTGAACTCGAGGAGGCTGACGTCGAGCCCTTTTTCCCCGCCCTCGACTTCGAGGACAAGGGACTTGGGAGATCCAGAGCCTGCTGCCGCAGCTCAAAGGCAGACTTGTATTCCATGAAGCACTGGACACTGCCGCAAAAACAAAAAAAAGTGCACACACACACACAGAGAGAAGAAAAAAAAAATAGACGGACAAACGAGACATGTGTGCGGCACGCAGGGGGCCAACAAGGAGGATGCAAGGGGAGAGAAAGAAGGGGACAAAAAAAAAAAACAACAACAACAACGCAAAGCAAGCATCGAGGCGACGCTTTGTGCGCTAGAGCGAACTAAACTCGTATGTAGCACGCTGCAGCAGAGTAGTTCTCGCAAGCGCGGCCTGAACCAGCGCCTCACTCGGCAAAAGAATATTCGCCTCCTCACCAGGAGGCAGGTTCAGAGTTTCCCCCGCCCCAGCATTTTGCTGCTGTTGTTGTTGTTGCTGCTGCTGCTCAAAGACCTCGCGAAGGAACGCTTTCAACGCGGCCGCAGCGCAGCCCTCCGCGTGGCCCGCCACGAGACGACTTAACTCTTCCAGCGCCGTCACTGTCGCGCCGTCAAACCTGGCGAAGAAGTCGAGTGCCATTTCCTCTGCGGCCTCAAAACTCAGCGGTGGGACGTAAAGAAGCGTCTCAAAGCGGCCCTGTCGCAAAAGAGCACCGTCAAGCGTCCCGGGCACATTGGTGGTGGCAATCACCAGGACGCGCTTATTGTCAAGCAGACCATCCAACTCGCAGAGAAGCGCCGCCAGCATTCGTTTTGCCACATTAAGGCCTTCCCCGGCGCCACTATCCGTCAAGGCACCGCGTGACGTTCCAACGACGTCGACGTCGTCAAGCACCAGCACGGACGGCGCGCAAACCCGCGCGTTAAGAAAGGCCTCCCGCAGGCGCTCTTCACTTTCGCCGAGGTACTTCGAGAACAGGGCGGCGCAGCTAACGACGGAGCATCTACCAGGGTAGGATGCGGAAATCCTCTTCGCCAACGCCGTCTTGCCGCTGCCTGAAGGCCCGTGGAGGAGAATTCCGGTGGTGGGCGCAACGGCGGCGAGCAACTTGGGACCCAGAAGCTTCTCACGCTCCATGGAGAGTCGCACAAGCGTTTCGACCCGCTCCACCACAGCGTCGAGTCCATAGAGCTTCCCACAGGCCAAAGGCGCCGATGATGGCACAGTCGCGGTGTGGCCAATAAATTGCAGCGCCGCAGGAGAAGTAGGAGTCCCCGATTTCTGACTTGTGAATTGCTCATGGCAGAGCACCAGCATCAACTCCCTCCGCGTCCTCAAGCAGGAAACCAACTTGTCGCCCCTCTCCCCCGTCACACACGGTAGGAGAGCATCGGCGTCCGCAAAGACACGAAGGAGGCGCCGGGCGGCACTCGAGGTGAGTGCCGGCACTTCGTACGTAAGAGGGGTCCACATTGCCAAAAGCCACTGAGGCACGTGCTGCACGTCAGTCGCTGAAGTCACCAACGCGCAACGTGGCGAGCGGAGCAGTCGGCGCACCATAGCTTCCAGACGGTGCGAGGACGCATGCAAACCAAGAAGATAGTCAGTCGCCTCGATGTCATCCAGCAGCACAACGGTGCCTGCCGGGTACATCTCGGATAGCGACGCAGCGCAGCTCTCCGCGCACCTCAATGCGTTATAGTCCACGTGAAAAATACGCACCTTTGCATCACTCCATTCAGGCGTTGCCGAATCCGTTTCACCCTCCACTGGGGGCACGCCATGCAGCACGCTCATTCCGTAGGCGCCAGCACCGTCGCGAACGGCGTGGAGATTAACCGTTTTGCCTGAACCTGCCGGCCCGCAGACAAGGAAGAAAAAAGGGACGGGCCTCGCCTCGGAGAGAACTCGTCGCAGGTCCGTGAGAATGCGACCATCGACGGACATTGAAGCCACACGAGTTCCTGGAAAAGCAGAAACCGAAAGAGATTGTTTTTTTTTTGTGTGTGGGACATCACGAGGGAAATAAGTGCAGACCGCAAAAAGAAAATGTGAGGGCAGTAAAGGCAGCTGCAATTGCAGCAGGGACGAGGACTGCGACGGAAACACGCCGCCGAGAACAGTGCTCTGGGTAACACCACAGAGCCGCAGCAAGCAAGCACACACAGACACACACACACACGTGCACGGGCAAAGACAGAGAGGGCGAGAGAGAGCGAGAGAGAGCGAGAGAGCGGGAAGCGTCGCATAGCAAAATTCGTCGAGCCGTCAATCCTCCTCCTCCTCCTCGGCATCAAACTCCTCACCCGCGAGGACACCGTAGCGGTGCAGAGCACGCTCCACGGAGTCCACTGAGAGTAGTTTGTTCTTTGCTCTCCAAGGCGTGAGCTCTGTCAGCTGTTGTTGCAACCGTTTTTTATTGTAAAGCAGGACGCAGGGAAGATGCCGTTCCGGAAAGTTTTTTATCGCCTCAGTTGAGATCATCGAAAGGAACTTCACGCTCCGACGACGCTGCGCCACCACACGCATGACAGAAAGCAGCGTCTCGCAGTCACTATGTCCCGGCTTAATTAGCAGCGCAACAACCCAGTGAGCCGCAGAGGCCTCTGTCACCTCAGCCATGTAGTCTGACCCCGATACGTGACGAAGCACACCAAATCGCTGTGCCTCCTGCTCTTTTTGCAGCTCCGCCAGGCGTTTCCGGCGGAATGCCAGAAGTGCCTCGTCATCGTCGTCGTCATCGATAATAGTGTCCACCGCCTCGTTACCCTCCGTGTTGGGCACGTCCAGCTGCAGCTCCGCGTCGTACCCGCCACGCTCCATTTTGTCCCGCACGCGTTCCTCGTTGGGATCATACGCCTTGAGGCACGTGTCGACGTTTTTGTCGGCAATCTTCTGCGCAAGTATCTCGAGCTCGTTGGTGGCGTACTTCCCGACCCGGTTGCCGTGCCTGTACTGAATGTCCTCCCACTCCGTGGTGCGTATCCGCTGGTCGGCCGTCCTCTCCGCCATCTTTGCCGCAGCCGCGCGACCCTCCTCGCCTTCCCTGACGCCGCATGCAGCCGCCGGCGTCGTTGTTGGGCGGGGCGGGGCGCGAGAAGCAGAGGGGAAAAGAAAACAGGAACAAAGACGAAGGTGGAGGAAGCGGCGAAAAAACGCCGGTCAACAAACAAAACACCCCTCGCGCTGAAGAGCAAGACGACACGCAACACGCCGGAGCGTCTCCGACAACAACAACAACAACAACAACGAGGCCCCAGTGGCGCTGCACGGCCGGGGCACAGCAGCTCACCATGTACATTTTCCCCGCCTAAAAGGAGGAAGGCAAAACAAAAAAGAAAAAAAAACACGAACAACAAATAGACATGCAGAAGACAAAAAGAAAAACGCAATGACATCCACGCACATGCGATCTCTAAGATGTAGCTGTCCCGAACTTGCTGACGTTATGTAGGCCCGGGACATAAGTGTCACCGGCAACCAACGTGTATGTGTTCTGTGTCGAGGACCATACAGGAATAGGGCCGGGAAAGCGAGTCCGCGCCCCACGCACAGGCGGAAGCTCTGCCTTGTACACCTGATTCGTGCAACTTACCGGGCGACGATTGCAAATAGACACATGCGAGTGTGGGCCGTAAAAGTGGGGTTTTTGGATGACGCCCACTGTGCCGTCCTCATCCACGGCGAACCACAGTCTTTCGACCTCCTCCAGCTCCTTCTTGGTGGGGTCCCGTCCCTTGTACGCGCGAAACGCCTTCGTGTAGGCCTCTGTTGCGCACCGCGTCGGCACATTGTCCTCAACCTCCCGCTCAAGCGATGATTTCGCCGCTGCCTCTGCATAGCGATGCACAAAATCCTTTTCCCGTCCCGCCAACTCATTGCGATCGCGTGTCTCGCGAAACGGTTCCGACCGGGGGAGTGCCCCCTCAAACTTCGGACTGTGTTTTTTAAAGTACGTGGTGTCAGGGGCCTGCAGCGTGCGCTCGCGTGTCGCCTCCTTTTCAGACATGTACCTCTGCACCGCTGACTCGTCTTGGCTCTGCCGCGTCTTCGCCGAGCGCGAGAAGGTTGTGGCAAACGTGCACGACGGCAGGTTCGGCGCCTCCGCCGTCACGCACTTCTTTGGCAGTGTGTCGCAGTGGCGGGCCAGCTGCACGGCGGAGTCCAGCAGGTCTATTCGACACCTCTCCTGCAGCGTGGAGGCTTCGACGGCCTCGTAAATTGTTGTCATTCGTCCCCTTCCGTGAGACAGCCGCCTAGCGCTATAAACAACACTGCAGAGAGAAAGAAAAAAAAACGAGACGCTCCCGCCCGAGCACCGCCAGGTCGCGGGGACACAACGCAGCCGCGAAGATGGAGCAAGCAACAAGTAAGCGCAGCACGCGTAGCCCCCCTCACTTCCTCGAGGTGGTCTCGGAGCAAAGGAAGACATTGGCGAAACAGGAAGAGGGGTGAAAAGAAAAACACTCCCGAGCGCGTCCCCGAGCGACGCGAAAAAAAAAAAATTTTTCCACGAGGGAAGATGGAGAGGAAGAGAAAAACTCCGGCGAAGCAACAACAATAAACGGAACAAAGTCGACGTCCAAAAGAAAAAAACAAAAAAACATCTCACCAAAGAGGTTTATTTCTTGCACGGTGTTTGGCAGCAATGGCGGCGGAGCGAAAACCGTCCGCGCACCCAAGAAGGGAGCTTATCAGCGTTAACATAGAACTCCAAAAGCAACTCAACTCAAACCCGGCGACGGTCGCCCCAGAGGCCGCGGTGAGGAGGTCGCACACGCCTTGAAAGACGCTGAGGAGCTGTTTTCTTCGGCCGCCAGGCGGAAAATCATGTCGCAGGTCAAAGAGAGAGAGCACGACGGCGGCCAGGTAACCCCAGAAGAGGCCCAAACGAGAGGTATGTGCGGCCTCTCGAAAAAGCGGCGCATCCCCTTGGAGTTTCCTTCCAAGGAAAGCCACATTGTCGGCCAACTTAAAGATGCCCTCGCCAAGCACACGAAGAAGAACAATGACGTCACGCATGCCAGACTGTTCCTTGTTGAGCAAACGGCTGAGGGTCTGAAGGTTAGAAAGCCAAGATAACACGCGCACAAGCGACCGCGCTTCCGATGTAGCATCGGCAAAGCCAATAAAATTTTTATCCCGCAGCAGACAACAAAAAAGTTTGGCGAGGGCCCCAGCACCTTTCAGCGCCTTATCCGGCATATCCACCGACTCCAAAGATATGGCCGTCACCTGCAAGACGTCGATGACTTTTTGACTCATTTTATCCTCGTCTTCTGTTCCTCCTCCGTGAGTATATAGAATTTCCCAATATACCAAGGAAAACAGCCGCGCGCTGATCTCTTCTTGAGGTTTCCTTGAGAAACATTCCCATATATATATATATATAATGTTTGCAGTAGGAAAGGAGTAAAGTGGGAAAAGGCGCAGGTTTGGCTGCCAACAAAACGGAGCGAGAACAACGGCGGCAACAACAGCAACGTGAAAGACGCAAACGCCCCAGTTCTCCGCGCAGGTTTTTTGGCCTTCGTGTGTATTTGTGTGTGTGTGTGTGTTTATGTATGTGAGTGGGCCTGTTTCGTTGTTCGCGCCTCCACCTCCCACACATTTAGTTCATGGCTTTAGTCCTCGTTAAACAATCACCCTGCCCAATAGTGGACGCCGTGCGGAGGGGAGGGGCTGGAACCGCCAACAACAACAAAAAAAACAACAACAACAACAAACACGAGTTCCCCCTCTTAGGTAACAACTGCAGAAATGGGGACAATCCGTGGACAAAAACAAAAACGAACTCAAATAACCAATCATGATGTACACTCATTTGCTTCTCTGTCGGCGGGCCTCCTCTTTTGTTGTCAAGAGATCTTTGTTTTTTGGGTCCAGGCGCAAACCTTGCTCGCATGTTTGCAGCGCCTCATCAAACTTCTTCATGGCGAGTTCCGTGGCAGCCTTGCGGAAGTATCCCTTTGGCCAGTCAGCAGCCAAGGAGATACAGCGAAGAGAATCCCAGTAAGCTCCCTTGTAGTGGCGCTGGTTAAAATAGGATGCTGCCCGGTTGCTGAAGAAAACATGATTGGTATTATCCATGTGGATCGCCAGGGTATAAAACTTGGCCGCCTTGACATTCTCACCTGCTTCAAACACCTTATTTCCCTGGGCCTTAAAGCGTGCGGCCTCCTCCTTCCGTCGTTCCGCACTGAGCATGGGCTTCAGCAGCTCCTTGAGCATGCCATCATTCCGGGCCTTCTCAGCCAGAGAGACCGGAGTCTCACCGCTTGTATTCGCAGCCTGAGGATTGGCACCAAACGACAAAAGAAGCTTCACACATGCAGTATTCGCATGCTCCACGGCGATATGAAGCGGCGTAGATTTGTCCCCATCAATCGTCACTTGCGCATCTGCTCCATTTTCCAGGAGAAATTCCACCGCCTCAACCTTCTTCATGAATAAGGCTGTAAAGAGAGCCGTTCCACCATGAGAGTCCGTGACATTAATCGGAATCTTGAGTCCATAAATCATCTCTCCAATGCAGTCAATATCCCCAGAGTGGGCGGCCCAATGGAGCAGGGTGCCGGTTTGGCAAGTGTCGTGCATAACATCGGCGCCAAGCTCCACCAAACAGCGGACAGTATCCACGTAACCCATCGATGCCGCAAAGTGGGCAGCGGTGCCGCCGGTAGGCGTTTTGCGATTTACATCAGCGCCTGCTTCCACCAACAGCTTAATGGCGGCATTCTGATGACCTTTCGCAGCCATGATCAACGGAGTATTGTTATCATAGTTCTGAAGTTCCACTTCAGGTTTAAACTCAAGCAGCATACGAATCATGTCGAGGTCCCCATTAAATGCGGCAAAGTGAAGCGCCGAGAATCCGCCTGCCTCTATGGAGTTGATTAGACTGGGGTTTTCTTTCAAAAGCCCGGCGCATTTGACCGTGTCCTTTGCCCGTGCGGCGCGCAGGAATACTTCGACATCCTCAGCAATCCGCGTTCCGTCATCCATCTTGCCCCAGGCGTTGCAGTCTACTCAGGCACTTTGTTTTATAGCTGGTGGAGGAAGAGCGTGGGGGGACGAAAAGAGAGAGAGAGAGAGAGAGAGAAGCACCAAAGCTCAGCGGCGCGTGCACAGCAAACACACAGACGCACATCAGGGCACAGGCGGGGGCGGCCAACACACAGCCGCACGCAAAAAAAGAAGCAATAATAATAATAATAATAATGATAGGGGGAGTGGGGAGAAGGAAAGGCGCCACAATATAAGAACAGGTTTAAGCCGAGAGTCAAACAAAAGAGGGGGAGTCGTGTTAATATCGCACAACTCTAACAAACGTGTCCGTGTTTTGTTTTTCTTTGTTGTTGTTGTTTTTTTTGCATTTCCTCAGTTCCCTTTCTTTTTCTTTTTTCTTTGGGAGAGGGGAATGGGGTCATTTTCTTCTTCTTCTTGTCATGTTCGGCCTAGTATCCTTTTTTTTTGCTATTCGCTCTTTTTAATCATCGCCGGCTTCATAATTGCATCAATCGAGCCTTCCGCACAAACTGAGTAAAAAAAACACGCACATACGCACCATTACGGAGCTCCCCGCAATCAAGACGGAGAAATATGATAATGATGGTGAAGCCAGTGGGAATGGCAATAAAAACAAAGCAGCAATCGACATTCCTTAACTCCATCTCTTTTCCGTGCGCACACACACACACATATATATATATATAAGAAGCGAGAAAGAGAGATTGCGCAGTCACTCAAGCCGTGTATGCCTCAGTATCCGGATAGCTTCGCGTAAACAAGTCCAGTGTGTTGCTGTCGCCACCAGCATATAAAACATTGCCTTGAGCATTCCAAGCGATCGCGTTGTAGCGTGGGCTCATGCGACCCCCGTCTGCCCTGCAAGTTGGCATTGCATTATTGGCGAAGTTGATGAGGTGAATGCCCGTCATTGTTGATGCGGCGCACACCATGTTTGGGTTTACGGAGAGGCTTAGCACTGCGCTATCCAATTCCCTCGTGGCCACGCCTTGACCCATCATGCGAAGGTCATGCACCACCACGCGCCGATCCAAACCGCTGGTGAAGAGATAGTCACCGCAGCTTCCAATGGAAGTGACAGTGCTATAGTGACGATATGCGGAAGGTGTAGTGGTATTTTGAGCCATGCGAAGGTCATACACCATCACTGAACAGTCACGTGACCCAGTGACGAGAATGTGATCCCTGTCTGGAATAACGTGAATAGCAGATACAATGTCATTGTGATCTGTGTGCTCCTGGATCATTTGGGTTCCATCGTACAATAATAAGGAATTGGCAGAAGCCGTAGTCACTCCACAACAGTACCTCAGCGTTCCTGTTCCTTTTAGGCTTCGCACCGCTGTAATAAAGCGGGCCCCTCGCGGCTCTGCCCCGCCACTTTCTTGCCAATTGGACTCTTCGTTGTATGTGGGGTCCGTAGAATATATAACGATTGCAGGTGCCACGGCGGCGTGTCTTCCCACGGTGCCCACAATGAGAATTCGTCCAGAGTTGGCAAAGTCCATTGAAGAGGCATAGTGGCGCGAAAGCACGAGATTCTCAGTAAGGACTCCAGACTGATCCCAGGTTCCGATGGTTCCATCCACAGAAGAGGTGACTACCGCCTCACGGGAATTCGTGCCGCCCCCGTACGCCAAGGCCAAGATGGCGGAAGTGTGATGCGCCCCCGAGAGCCGAACCGCGAAATTAATAAACTTTTCAGATTGGCTCCACCCAAACGGTTCCATTATGTATTCAACATCGTATAAAAATGTGTCATCTTGCTGAGCAAAGGCCACCGTTGAGCGCAGCGTTTCAAGGGTGTGTTGATCTAGGCGATCAAGGAGCAGCTCGTGGGCCACCTCCACCATTTTTCCCAAGCAGGTGATGCCAGCACTTCGGGTATTGTCTAGGCGAATCATCTGCATCAGGGCAACCACTACGCTTCGGACGTTTAGCATCTCTGCCTTGGTAAGGGCAGCCAGGACCTCCGCATAGGGTAGCAGTGGGACCCGACTACAGTCAAGACGCCGGTGGCGCGAGAGAAAAATCATTATGCGCTGAACAATATCGCCTTTAACGGCACTTTGCTTGTTCTCTGGAAGCTGTGATAATAAGCTAATGAACCCGTCTAGCGGATCCCCGCGTTCCACGCGCTGTGAATCAAACATCGCCTCACAAAGGACATCTAGACAGTCCTCGTAGAGGGAAGGGTGGCAGAGCCTATCCGTAAGTTCCGGGATAATTGATTCAAAACTACGCTTCACTAGCGCAGTGTTCACCAAACGCGCAAGTGCCTCTTTGTTCGTCACAAATCCTACCGTTGCGCCCTCCGGAAAAGACTTCAGTACGTGTTTAATGTGGTCAATGTTTTGAAGCTCCGGCTCCTGCAACTCAATGTCCACCTTAATACGCATTTCGCCTCGGCAGTGCTTCAACAGGTCTATATAAACTTCGATGCACGACCCCCCACCCCGAGAGTTGCTTTCGTCAGTTTATACTGATGCCCTTGCTATCGGCGATGTCGTGTGCGTGTCGCTCTTCTCTTCCGGCAAACTTTAATCCGCCTTTTGTTCTTGTGTTTGTGTTCCTTTGTAGCTTCCTGCCTACTCAGACCAATCGTTTTACCTTTCAGCAAAGACCAGCAGCGTGTTAAGTGAAAACAATTGAAAAAAGGAAGGAGAAAATACAAAAACAAAAAAAACATCAGACCACCCCCCTCCCCGTCCCTCCCCTCAAGCGGCGGCACGAAGACGGCAGTGTGCGCTGAAGGCTGCTCAGGACCCACGCATGGGTCAGCGTCCCCTCTCCGTTATTTCACACCCCCTGCGTTTTCTCCCTTCCTCCGCGCATATATATATATATATATATATATGCTGCATTTCCGTTTTTTTTTTCGTCCTTTGTTTTCTTGCAATTCCCAGAAGAAGTGCTAGACAGCTTGGCACCCGCTACGGGCGCGTTCGTTTCGGCCGACGTGACAATATCTGTGCGGCAAACCGCCAACGAATCGGCGGGAGGCCGTAGGCCCCCGCCAGGTCGCCAGCGCACATGACCCTCCAGAACTCCCTCGAGAGAGTCACGGGCCCGACCGTCGCCTCCGACGGGACGGCGCTGTCGTTGCGGTGCCGCTTGACCAAATCCCGAATGACGTCCAGCGTCATCAGTCCCCGCAGCGGCTCAATCCACTCCAGGCACTTGGGGTCGCGCGCCGAATACGCGAGGGTCACCCACCGTGCCTCGCTCTCCGTGAAGGAGGGATCGAGTGGAACAAAAAGTGGGAACTGCAGAAACTTACTAATGGCATTAGATAAACTAACTACTCCGCCGGGGTACGCGTCGGGATTTGCCTTCAAGTAGCGTGTCAAGATATCCCTCTCTGCCGCGCAGTCACGAGCGTAGCGATCCTCGGTGTTGTAAAAGTAGCATTGCTCCTCGTGCAGAGTGCAGTCGTACTGCCGCATGGGGACCGTTGCGCCGGGAACAAACGGCCCTTCGACGCAAAGGCGCACCTCCGAGGAGGACTTGGGCGCCCAAACCCCGAAGAGACGACTGCCGTCCATGTACTCCACAGAGTCGGGGGTATCATCGGCGGCGTCGTAATAACGCGACGCGGCATCCTTGCAGCGAGGATAGGGTGGATGGAACTTCAGTAAAGCCGCCTCCGCCTTAAGCGACCAACACCAACTCCGCTGCATCTCGTTATCACGCATAATCATGGCCGTATTTTCCTTGTTCGACTGCGTCACTGGCTCGCCAGAGCGAATGTCGCTCACCAGCAGGATGTCATACTCGGAGCTGTACGCGCGCGATAACCGAAGACACAGCTCATCCGTGCAGTACCCCTCCACCAACTCCAAAACAGACCCTTTCCTGTCCTTTGCAATCTCTCGCACCTCCGCACAAAAGGGGGCAGGGTCAATGAGGATGAATTTTATCGTCGCAAAAAGCCCAAAAAGAAATGGAAGGTGTGAGCCGTTAGCCGCACCGGCGTACACCACTAGCAGCGCTTTGTTGGAGGCCCTTGGTGCTTCCATGTACGCCGAGAGAAACTCAACCTCTGAGAGGAGCAACTTGCGCTGCCCGAAGTGAAGCCCCTTCACCACCACGTTCTCCAAAGTTGCTGAGTGCGACGGCACGTACGCACGCCGCGGAAAATCATCCGTCAGCAGCCTAAATGGCGAAAATTTCATACAACCCCTCTTAGAACGCCCAGGGCCCCCAAATACACACATGCAGAGGGAAACCAGCGAAAAAAAAAAGAGAAGAAAGAGGACAGAGAACAAAATAATATGAGAGACGAGTATAACAGCAAACATCGGGGTGCCTCACATCGCCTTTTCGTTTTCGTTTCTTTTCCTCTGTTGTTGTAAAACAGAACGAAAAAAACTCTTCGCGGCCTCGCATACATACACTTACAGATTCATGCTTGCGCTCCTTTTTACATGACTGACGCAGTGAGTGTTTCACCCGCAGTTGATTCACGAGTCAGCGTACTTGTTACTCTATTGCTCCTTTCCTTCTTTTCTCTTCTTTCTTCGCACCCACTGACCCACACGCATGCGACCCCCCAGAAAAGAAAAGAGGGAGTTAGCGTTGGTCATCGTACACAAAAACGTGAGCACGGCTCAGTTTGTGCATTGCAAACTCCACCGCATTGAGTTCCTTCCCTAGAGCCTCATGGTGGGCCTTTTGCAAGGGAGTTTGAAGTTTGCTGAATCCCCTGGACTGATACTCTGAATTCAGCCCGTCCCACCGTCGCTGCAGTCCTTGTCGCAGCTGCTCAAGCTCCTCCGCCGAGAGTTCCGACCACCGCTCCTCTGCCTCCCGCTGCGCGGCCTTAAGTCTCGCCACCAAGGCATGACGCTCCTCAATCTCAGCCTTGACCTCACCCAAGTAGGTCGGCACTTTTCCAAAATCCTCGCGGTCCACCGCACGATTCTCCGGCGGCGGGATGCATTTGCTCGGTATGGCGAGGACGCTTTCTACGGCGTTTGCCACCACGTAGTTTTTGTCAGTTTTCAGTCCCATGATGGGTTTGTCGTGCCTACCCGGAATATCATCCTTCAACCTTGCGACATCCTTCGCACTCTTGAGGAATCGTGTCTTGTTTACCGTCGCTGCCCCTCGACTGGCGGTTAGCGGGCCTTCATTTTTCTTGAGGAAGTCTGCAGGCTTCACCGTGGAGCCCGTATCCCGCCCAAAGATGCCTACAGGTTTCTTTGCTGGGTGAATGGACGGCTCCGTGACCTCGCCACCCATGTTCGCCACAACGGCACTCGTTCCGTGAATGCCAAAGGTCGACGCGGTCGGTGGGGCTGCCTTGTTTCCGCTGTACTTGGACTTGTGCCGTGGTTGAGGCGGAGGCACCTCCACCTCGGGCTCGATAAGATTGAAGACACTCTCGCCCGACATCTTATTCCTTCCTCCCCTTTTCTTTTTTTTTCAGAAAAGAGAAAAGAGAAAAGAGAAAAAGGGGGTTAAAAACAAAAACAAAGGAAGGGTAGCACACAGCAGCGTGTGAGAGTTCAAGGCGTGTGAGGAGGAGTGGCAAATTTCCTCTCGAGCGCATGACGCCCCAGCGTTTTTTTGTTGTTGTGTGATTTTCTTCTCATTCCTTCTATCTCCGCTCACGGCTTGGGAGGCTGAGAGATTTGAGAGGCGTTTTCCGGCGCCTGCGGAGGAGGTGGTGGACGGTCCGCCGGCGGGAAGCGAACGCGCATCCTCTTGTTCGGCATGTACGCCTTCTTGAGCATCCACCAATGTGCCTTCATAAGGTACCCCATAAGAAGGGGGACGACGGTGAGAAAGCTTAGAACGGAGATCTCAAACGAGTTTGCGTCGTGCGCAAGGGCCGAGAGCGACCCAGCGTGTTTCTTGTCGTAAAAGACGGTGCAGCGCTCACCCACGCGGAGCACAGGGATTGCCTGAAGATACTGAGACTCGGTAATGGTGTCATTGTAAAACCGCTCCATCCAGTTCCTGTAGGGGGACCCGGTTGTCGCCCTCGTCGAGACGTACTTTTTACCGTCAACTTCGTATTCGTAGCGCACGGCGTATCGCGGAACACTGATGTACCGGTAATTCAGCTTCCGAAGCTCCAGCAGTTTTCCGTTGGTCATACCCCACTTCGAATTCGCTTGATAGGCAGTCAAAGCGTCATAGTAGCACCGCGTGTTGACGTACACAAGGTACGCACAAAAAATAGCCGGGATACGCACCTCCAAGGCAAGATCCCATACCCACTGCGGCTGCTGTTTGCCTGTAAAGAACCTGTAGACCTGGCCTGACATATGTATATATATTAATGTATATATATATATATAACTATTACCCTACTCGATACAACTGGCCGCCTTGCTGACGTTATTGTTTTGTTGTTTGTTGTTTGTTGTTGTTGTTTTTGTTTTTCGGATCCAACATATCCCGTATTTCCCGCCCAATAACACGGAGGAAAAAGGGGAAGAGAAGAATAAGGAGGGAACTGATACAGTCAGTTTCACCCATTACAAAGGAGTGCCCCCTCCTCCCTACTCAGCATGGACGGGGCGCGACAAGTCATGCTGATTCAGAAATTAGGCGGTCGAGAAAAGGCGGGCATGCATTGTGGTGAACGAGGTACAAAGCATGCAACCCAGAGCAACTGACCCCTCTGTGCCATGTGACCCCTTAAGTGGGCATTCGCCAGGCCCCGGACACGGTATCGGTTCGGGCTCGGTAGTTTCCCAACGCTTATCGCATCGGTTGCACAAATACCTATTGCCGAATGACAAGTGTGTGGCGGGGTTGCAGCAATACCGGCACTTATAAAGGACGTACTTGTGCCGGTGCTGTGGGCAGAGGAAATCGTCACAGCAGTCAGAGCATATCAGCTCGCTGGGCTTCTTCACGGGCTCCCCATTACCGGATCGGAAGCATCGGCGTTCACCACCGTAGTAGGGTTTTCCACAGCGGTAGCAAATATAATACAGTAGGTCCTCCAGTGTTTTGTTTGCCATCTCCCGAATTCGAATTTCGGCATCCCCATCAATTTCCCGGCGCAACCTCCCCATGTATTCTGAGAGAGGGGCGGCGACATGACGGATTTGCATGCCGCACCCTCCTGGGCAAACGGCATACGTGAATACCACGTGCTCTCCCCTGGCGCGAAAGCTATCCGCCCGAGAGGAGAACTCGGTGAGGCACTCACGGTGAAAGCAGTGCCCGCAGTCTAGTGTGACGCCGCTGCCCTCCTCAAAGTCGCAGAGGCAAATCAAACACAAATCCTCCGGTTGGGCCGAGGGCACGGCAAGCAGCCTTGGCGCCCTTCCCTGAAAGTCCCTCGCGGTTACCGCCGTATCCCGAGCATACAGGCACAGTTTGCCTCTTTCCTCAATCGTAAGGAGGGCACCTGCGCCGAAAGAAACAAACGGCGTCGTGATTGCGTAGGGGAAGACGTTTTCCCGAAGCTCACCATTTTCATTCACGCACACAATTTGCTCCAAATCTACAAGAACAACGACGTAGTGGCCATAACGGCCAAGAAGCCGAAAGTCGCTTCCCGTCACGTTCACCTTAACAAGGCACTGGCTCAATTGATACGCACAAATCCCCCCCTCGCCGGCCACAAAAACAAACCCCTGATCCGCCGCCTCGACATCGTCGGCCTCGCACTGCGGCGTCAGAGTCTCGAACTCCTCAGCGAGGGGGTCGAAAGACGAACATGCGGTCGCCGCCGCAGCAGTACACCTTCTGCCTGTGCACGAGGACCTTGTGAACTGGGCCGGGAAGCTCAAAGTCTGTGCAGTCGCGCGACACCCTCCAGCGTCGCAAAACACGCTTCGTATCACGCGCAACAAAATAAAATTCACCCGCACTGAAGCACGCCACATCAGCCGCGGGAGGAATCAGACACTCAACGGGGCGACACATCAATTCGCCCTTCTCCTGACTCACCTTGTAGAGGGAGCCAGCGTCGTAAATGAAAGCACCCAGCATTCTCTTTCTTTTTGTTTTTGTTTTCTTGCATCCTCCAAAAAGAGTGAGGGACACATTTTTTCCAAGCCGAGTAAGCAACGAGGGAGGGAGGGAGGAAGGGGGGAGAGGTCAAAAGTGAACACCACAGAGAGGGAGAGAATGGGATGGAGGAAAACTAAATAGAAGTAAGTGCTAAGGAGACAAATGCCACACGTTCAATGATGATTGCACGTAACATCAATACAAAAGAAGGAAGACAATGTAAAAAGAAAAATGAAGAGGGAGGGGGGGGGAAAGAATAAATAAAAACGACAACAAGACGAAGTGAAACATGGCTGGCGAAGCGTCACGTCCCAAAGAAGGGAGGAGGAGGAGGAGGCAAAGGCATGCAACAACACAAGGCGGGAAGTAAGAACGGCTACCCCCGCCACGCTATTGGCGGCCATTTTGTTTGTCCGCGTGTTCCCTCATCTCCCGCAGGCGTTCAGCTGTTACGGTAAATATTTTGAGATCCATTGCCTTTTTGGTCTCCTCATCCAAGGACTCCCGTGCCACGCCGTCTTGAAACGTCTGGACGCGACGCGAGCTCGCACGCGCCCGGCGCCATTCTTCAACAAAAATGCGCTTCACTTGGCTTTCGTACTCAGCATCATTTCCCCACCAAGGGAGCATCGTGTCCGTTGTCACGTGCTCCATGGTCTCAGGTCGCTTCTTCTTTTGCATCTTTGCACGCATCAGGCCCTCCACGTACACATACACCACCAGGAAAATACACAGCGAAAATACAAAAAGTATGGAGGACTCAAGACGAATCTGCTTCACTATCTCAGTATTTTTCATCACCTCTGTCGCTGTTCGGGAGGCCAACCCAGCCACGTCTGAGCGATCCTGTACCTTGTTTTTGGCCGTGATAACCTCAATGTCTTCGGCACTTACATCTGCCGTTCGTATGGCACTTTCATCGCCAGGTGTGCCTTCTCCCAGGCCGGGGGTGGACTCATTTTCTCCAGGTGCTTTCTTGCCCTCAACTGTCGCCCTGGCATTCTCAGCTGCGTCGCTGGTGGCGTCGCGGTCCACCGGGCTCTTGGAAGCAGATTCAAGGTATAGCGGCCTTTCGGTGCCATTGGTGAGGGTCATCCTTCCCTCCACCCTGACGCTGCCATCCTCAAGCATTCCCAATCGAACGGTGCGGAGACCGTCCTCCTCCATCATATCCTCAATATCCTCAAGAAGAAGGATCGCCTCATCGTCGTTGGCGGCTATGCGTGCTACCACGTCCTCCCCAAGTCGCGCCGTAATTTCTTCAAGCTTCCGAATATGGTCCGTTAGGGTGGAGATGGGGATAAAACTTTTTATTTGGGCACGGGCCTCCAAATAATTTCGTGCCTCATGGTCATCCACCTGAAAATTTCCCAGATTCACAATCTTGTTCTCGACCGTCTCGACCCCGTAGTCCTTCATGACGTCCTGGTAGGCCAGGCTCACACGCAGAAAGTCTTCCGCGTCGCCACCAGCATCAGGGTGTGTTCTTCGGCAGGCCAGGAGGTACTTCAACTTGGTCAGGGCAAGCGGCAGTCCGGGTTTGCACTCCAGCAGGCGATAGCGCAGTGGGTAATGCTCATACTCCTTGCGTCTCGCTTCCGCCTCGGCGAGCTGCTTTTCATCAGCCTCTATCTTCTTGTAGTTTTTCGACAGTTCGGCGGCCCCCTTTATGCGCTGAATCGACGCGGCGCAGAGAAGGCACGACCCAAGGCGCAGCATAGTGCTGAGGCGAAGATAACACCCCCGTTTTGTGTTGTTGTTGTTTTTGTTTTTTCGTTTTTCGTTGCTTTGTTTCGTTTCCGCAACGGTGCAGACGCAAGCGAAGAGCACGGGGCGCGTGCGTGTCCACGTAAAACGGGCTTGCTTACAGGGAGGGGAAACAAAAAAAAACCACACACAAAAAAACAACAACAAATGCGTTTGTGTTCGTGAAATGGGCACAACAAACGGAGAGAGAGAGAGGAGGGGAACGGAGAGCATCAGACAAAAAGAAACAAAAAAAAAAA